CCTGAGGTCCCACAGGGACTGAGGCAGCTGTTTGCAGAAGAGGGGAGCTCCGCCTTGGGGGGGGTTTCTTTGGGTTTGCTTTGCCCCCCAGCCCCTCACAGCCCCCAGGCTCCAATTCAGGATTTTTACAGGCCCCGCTCTGGCCAGGAAGAGCCTCTGAAGAGGACCTATGCCCAGGGCTTCTGCGCCCAGTTTCTGAGCTGAAGTTCAGAGTTAAAAATGTTGGGTGAACCCAGCCTTTGGGACTAGCCACGCTGTGGGGAATGCTGCGGGGAACGAATTACCTTACAAGGCTGTTCTAAGCACCTGAAATGTCGCTTTGCATGGACTGGGGTAGTTGTGGGGGGCTCTCTGTCCTTGGGATGGGATGGCAAGGGAGCTCTGGCAATGCTATCAGAAGGCAGGTATAGTGACAGCTGTCCACCCCCCCCCCCCCCCCGGGCTCTGTGCAAATTCTGTTAATTGCTGGGACCAATTACCTCCCCATTAAGCGCTTCTTCGGTGGTGCCCGCTTTAACCTGGCAGCATCAGCGATTAGCTCCAGCAGCGATTAGCAAGCTCCCAATTAGTTAATTGCTCTGCAGCTGCAAGGGAAAATCCTGGCACCGTGGCACCCCCCCACCCCCAAACTGGCTGTGTGGGCAGGACAAGGGACATTTGGGGTCCCGCCTGCGCATTGAAGCATTTGCTAAGCGCCCCTGCCGCCTTTCTCTGACCGTATTCACCACGGTCAGCAGATCAGAGCTGCATGAAGAAGACTCTGCTTGGACTTGTGGTGGGCCCAGTGAAAACTATGGGAGGCCAAGGTCCTCTCGGGGTGGCTGAGAGCTACTATGAGCTCTGTGAGGTAGGCCAAGTCATGGAATTGGCCCAGCAAGGGGGCCAGGAATGCTCCTGGATTGTGGCAAGGCCAGTTAACAGAAGCGTGAAAGCCTGCCCCAAAGCTTCAATGCCCCCTTTGGAGGGACCACAAGATCAAGGCGAGGCAGTCCGGACGCTCTTTCTCATGCTTTTGACCATCTCAGGGCTGAGCAACCATTTCCACCTCCTTCTCAAGGAGCGTGCACGGTGCTGGGCCTCGTAAACCACTATCCTGACTCAGGAGGAGGCAGCTTCTCCTCTTCACACACACCGGGGCCACCCCCAAAAAAGTTGTAACCCCTGCTTTGATAGAAGAGAACACTACTTAGCCTACAGGCACTTTTCATCATTTACTGCCATTCCATTAAATCAAGTTTTGCCTCCATTCTGATCCTGTAATGCAGTGTTTCTCAACCTTGGCAACTTTACCATGTGTGGACTTCAACTCCCAGAATTCTTGCTGGCTGGGGAA